TAAAAAAAAAAAAAAAAAAAAAAAAAAAAAAAATCAGTATATCATCTGCATATATGATGCTTTTGTTACAGATGGATTCCGAAGGTGAGGAGCAAACCTTTGAAACATGCAACAGTAGCACAGGTGAGTTCAGACTTCTGCTTTAAGCGCTTATGAGCATACACACATATACACACCCACACCCAAACACTACACAACCCTCTTATGATTATAGGTTAGGGGTATCAGTTCAACAAGCCAACTTTATAACTGTCAGTTTTATCTATTATCTTTGCAATCTGAAGAGCACTGCACCACCATTCATTATTCAGAGGGGAATAACTTCATTAAATTCAAACACAGGCTCCAAATTAGTGAAGGAGTGCGTGTCTCTGTGTATTGTGTGATTGAAAACCTCTAAACTGGATATGTCAACATGCAAGTGTGCAAAGCTTGCAGAGCCTTTCTGATCACGATGGGCCTATTACCCCGACTGAGATCAGAAATAAAAGAAAAATCATGAACGATATTATTATTCGTTGTGCTTTATGGGAGTAGAGGTGCAACTTGTAAATGAAATTTAGGCAGGACCCCCTCTGGGGAAATAGATTTAGCCTTTTAGATCATGTTGTCAATTCTGTCAAAGGATGAGCTACTTTCACATTTCCAGAGGGTGAGCAGGCTGAATGAGAGGTCTTTTTCAGATCAATGAGGAGTCCACTTCTACACTGGTCTGCTGATTATACTGATACTGTGGCGTTGTAAAATCTATGGTGAAAAGGCCAGCATCATATCATCCCTAAGACATTATCTGCAGAGCAAATATTTACAGTGCATTGTAAACTTTCATTAGCAAGGCTCCAGAAGTTGTAAGTGACCATGGAGCTTTGAAGACAGATGCTGTGCCATTGTGGCTTGAAACGTAAACAGGGCTTTACGTCTAATACTTCCTGGTTTTTCTTTCACAGGCTTGGTTGACTGCGTCACTGAGAGCCACAGGTGAGATTTTGAATCCTAAAAAACTTTTAGAAAACCTTCAGATCCACTCGAAGATTTATACTTAATCTACTAGCATGTAGATTAAAGCCCAGCATTTTTACAATTTAAAATGAGCATCTTGACACCTCTTTTGCCTATGCTTACCCCCTTTTTTCCAGCCCATACGGGTCGGCAGCGAGGAAGAGGAGCGCCCAAGATGGGGTGCAGGGCGCTCCTGTCAATAAGCGAAAGTCCCTGCTGATGAAGCCCCGCCACTACAGCCCTAGCGACGCTTGTGAAGAGGAGAGCGAGGACCTGGCACCGCCACAGGACAAAGAAGAGCTGAGGAACATTGACACTCCAGCAGGTAAACAGATGTCCTGTTGTTTTGTCTGTTTTGATGAACAATTGACGCTGAATTTTAAAATCCCATCTGTTGCATTCATATTTCCCCTCCCTCTACCATCAGCCAACAGCCACAGTCATTGTGCAGTGGAAGTGAAAGACTACACTGCTGGGCCCACATTAGTTGTGTCTCACGTCCGCAAATTGAAGTTTTGACAGCTGATCTGCCATGATATTTTTGGCGTTGCTTTACCCTCTCTTGATGAGGCCAGATTTCAGACCCCTCATCTGTTCTGTTTTAATAGCCAGCTAAAACTCATTGATTCCATACAATAAAAAACTGAATGAAGACGTGCACCAGTGCAGTTTGATTTAAATTGAGATGCTTCTTTCCTCCTTTATTTTTCTCATATTACAATATCTTGCTTTTATGTATTTTCTTTTTGTCCCGTTACATTACTTATACTCTTGCTGATTTCATCCTTTTTATTTTTTATTTTTCCCAGATTAACTGAATTTTGTGCATTTTGGCAACAGCGCTCGTAGCGTTCGTGTGCATTCTCGCCCACTATAATCTGTACTGATTCAGTATATTTTTAACGATGTAACTAAGCAACAAACGTAATTGTCCCTTTCAAAAGCTTTTGTTAGGCCCTCTAACATAGTCTAATACATAATTAGGCATAATGTCTTCAGCTCATTATAGTACACATGTGTGTAGTTAAATGGGCAGGAGAGAGGCTCACCAAAATTGTGTGGATTTATTAAAAAAATTGGATTTATTTGTTTCCTGGGTTTGTATTACATTACAGTTTTGTTCAGGTAATTCACTGTTTATAATTGGGTTTCTGCTGTTTATGTTTCCTTATATAAACCGTTAATAAGTGGAGTTAGTTTGAAAAAGAAAAAAACAAAACTACAAAAAATACATTTCAAATGTGTCTAAAACAACAAGAATATTGTGAAGCATATTCACAGCATATTTTGCTGTTATTGTCGGAATCATGGGGCTATTTTCGGTGGAAAAACAAAAATTGGAAAAGTGGACTGGAAGCTGTAAGAATTTTTTTTTGTTTTGTTTTTGCGGCGGGAAGCTGGTCATATCTGCATTTTAACAAAAAGGGAGGAAAAAATAAGCCTCTTGTTTTGTTGAGCCACGCTGCGTTCAGCTCCAGCCAACTGCAGCCCTGCTGCAGAGTGCTGGTAATGGCTATTCTGGAGTACAAACTGTTCACCTGTTCCAACACACAAACCAGCCGAGAGATCCAAGTTTTTTTCCTCCATCTCTTTCCTTTTTTTTTTTCACTACACTTCAGCGTGTGTGTGTGTGTGTGGGTGTGTGTGTTTGTCTGACTGTATGCGGCTGTGTCAGGCCTGGGAGTCCATCTGGATGAAAAACAAAAACCCTTGCTTCATAAATGTAAATACGTGTTACTGACTTTAATTTTTCATTCAACAAGGTTTGCCTTTAGATTTTTTTTTTTTCCGGTTCTTTCTCCCAGTTGGGAATATTGACCCACTGAAATGTTTCCTGAGCCAGACATTAAAACTCCCACATACTTAACAAAGCCCCAAAATCCTGTATTTTCACTAATAGTTAGTTTTGTTTCATCAGCACCATATAATTCCTATGATTTTAAAGCTCTTTTGGCCAGGATTAAGAGTTTTTCGTTATTAAGTCGCAGCTTTCTGCTAATGCCTGTATCTATATCTTCCTCTTTTTTTCCTCACAATCCATTTCTATCAGTCTTCTCAATCTATTGAATCCTGCTTTCAGTTTGGACTCTAATGTCCGGCTACTTAAGTGGATATAAAGACCTCCAGTTTAGCCGACTGAAAGTAAAAAAAACAAAAAAAACCTCATATTCTAAAAAGCTTTAATAACACATAAGTTTAAATGGCTTGAGGATCAGGAGAGATTTTGTTGAATCAATCCAGATGATAGCTTTCCTTTGTTAATCACTGACCATGATTTAATGTGATCAGCAGTGTTAATAAAGTGTTGTCTCGATGCATTTTCAGGGATAACCCTAACCCTCTTTGTCTCTTTACCGGATCGACGTTTTCTAAAATCTTCTGCGCATTTGAGTAGGATTTATTCTAAATGATAAAGGATCTTTGAGTTAATGCAAACAAAATTATTAAGAGCACTTTACAAAATAACCCAGATGGGAAAAAAAAGGTCTTTTTCTCTTCAATATTCTGCAAAATATTTCAAATATGTCCAGAGTTTAATCATTTGCAATGCTGCCAATAGATAGGTTATGTGTGTTAAAATGAAAGGGATTTATGAAAAGAAAAAAACATTTATTGAATCACACTCTGCGTTATTTCTCTTAGAACTGTCACTACATTAAATTGATATTAGAAGTTCAACTACATGCTGATTTTTTTTTTACACAGACATGAAAACAAGATCATAAATTGCTCCATATATCCACCATGTGTGACATTAACTGGCAGAGATATAACATACATAAAAAAACGACATATATCCTTTTTTATTATGATTTATATTTAATATAAAACACTTTTTTTCATTTAAATTTTACGCTCATTTACTGTTAACAGTTGGATATTTTGTGGTTTGTGTGTTGATTATTTTTGATAAAAATGTGCCAAATATTTCCAGCTTCAAGAGCTGGAGGATTCAGGGATTTTCTAAGTAAATCACATAATAGACATTCTGATTTTTAGATCATGTTAACAAATTCAGTAGAATGACACCAGTGCTACTGACATATTTCCTTTTTTAATGTTATTTTATTTTTATTGAAACAAAACCCAGTTCTGCTTAGTTCTATGATGAATTTCATTTTTAATAATAACATTTTTGATTTTTTTTCTTCGTTTTTGAAATAATCTCCCATTTTTCGGTAGTGTTACACCTAAAAAACAACAATTGTTTGCTCCTAAAAGCAGATTTGACAGATAATATTTTGCTCCTCAGCTAGCACTTCATAACAAAGATCATGAATAAATAAAAAATGTGTTTTATGCCTATGCACTGCAAATCCTTTCATAATCATGCTGTACATCTTTATTGAGCTTTTACTCCAGATGGAAACAACAAAGTGAAAAGCAATTGCGGTCCTTATGCCACAGAAGAAGGAAGATTTTACATATGTTTTTAAAAGAAAATGTCCAAATTGCTTGGAAATCTTGCAACCTTATATCTGTTAATCATCAATCCCCAATAGCATGTATGCTTACAAATCCCTGTGGATCCTTAGAAAAACATGTTTTCCTCTGAATATTATTCTCAAAGAAGTAAAAATAAACTAAACCCATTAAAGGATTTTGCTAAAGATTACTAAAGAAATACAAATATCATTATTCTTAGGGTAACGACAGCTCAAGTCCAGTATTGAATCTAATAATAAGTGTTGTCATCTTGTTTTAGATGAAAATCTGAAAGGAGTGAATGGACTGGCTAACAACAACAGTGACCTGGATGCTGCCTCGAAGTCCTGCAGTCTGCTTGGATGGCCTGAAGGTTCGCCTAACAGTTCACCCCAGTGCCAGCCGGACACATCTCAGCATCTAATGGTGGAGGAGGATGAGGAGTTCCCTAATAATGAAGAAGAGGACCAAAGTCAAGACAGGATAAGCAACAGCTCGTCGCCACAAAGTCCATACAGAGACTTGAGGGAAGCTGAGTGGGAGCCCCTGTCTCTGTCTGCCAAAGACAACAGCTCAAATTGCAGCCCTTCCAGAGCCTCAGAAGATCTTTCATGCAGAAACAGCCACATTAAGGAGGGGTCTGAACCGGGCTGCCCTATAGGCAGACAGAGTATTTTCCAAGCCGAAGCTGTAAGGTACAGGCTGCTCCCCACTGAGGAGGACAGCGAGGGGGAGACAGAGGTAGACAGGCTGCCTAGGCTGGACGGATGGGCTCTGGGCCTCCATGAGAGAGGCCTCGACATGAGCAGAGGGAGAGTGAACCTGAGCCTGTTGGAGCAGGCCATTGCCCTGCAGACGGAGCAAAGGCAGGCCCTGCACCACGCCTACAGAGAAATGGACCGATTCCTGCTGGAGCAGATGACTAGCGAGAGAAGGCATCACAGGATGATGGACATAGAGAGCAGGCTCAACTATCACGGAGGGAAAGGTATTAACGCCAACCAATCTGAAATATTCTTGTTTAAGAATGAAAAAAACAGAAGCCTCATCTAGCACAAATCAGATAGACGACTTATTTAGAAAAAAAAAAAAAAAACAGTTGAAAGGAATAAAGGAAGCATATGCAGGGGGTGGCGGGGGAATCAGAGGATGGAAATCCTCTTAAAGACTAAAAACATTTTGGCAACAAGTGAGGTAATAAATAAACAGACTAAAATATAAAGAAGAACATTTTTTTTAATATGGAATTGGTGCTACTCAGAATATTGGATTTTGATAGGAATCAACGGGATATTTAACCATGACCATAAGTCTTAAATCCTCCTAAAGTACCTCTCATGTTTCCCTGGGATTCTTCAAATGACTGCAGATAAATATGTAATCCTGGATGTAATCTTTCGATGGATGGGCATTAAGAAGTGAACGCTCCGTGTTACACTGTAGCCTTAACTAAAGCGACGGCTTAATAGATGCATGCAGTGAAAAACCGTGGATGATGTTTCAATCTTTTGGTTTATCTGTTTTAAACATTTAGACCACTGCAAAATCTTTAAATGCACAATTCATTTACTTTTCTTGATTTTTCACATTCGAAACAAAGACAATTCCATTTTATCTGTTGTAAAAAATCTGCTCTTTTCCTATGTCTGTAGACTCTCCCAGGACAGATAAAAAGGATATAAAGTGTCCAACCCCCGGCTGTGATGGCACCGGTCATGTGACGGGCCTGTACCCACATCACAGGAGTCTGTCTGGATGTCCTCACAAAGTCCGAGTTCCCCCAGAGAGTGAGTAGCTGAAGCAACGCCGTTAAGTGGGCTGATTTTTACTTACAAAAAAACCCTTTCGATTTCACCATTTGCAAAAAGCCGCAGTAATTGAAAACCTCTTAGCACATTTCCAAAGACAACAAAAGCCTGCTTATGCATTTAGTTTAATTCAAAGATGAGCAACAAAAACTTTGCACATAAACTTAAAGGATTTTCTTTCTTTTACTCATAATGTTTGAATATTGAATTCCCCTTTTTTCCTCAATGTTGGCGATTGTTAAGTCATTTCCATATAACTCAACAAACATGGGACATTAAACGGTAATGTTACAAAAGGGAACAGAAAAAGTAATTAAGTTTTTCAAAAAAGCACATGCTCTTAGACTGCAGGCTGTATTTGCAAATCAAAGGGCTTCCAGACGCAAGAATTCAAAAATAAATAGACAACTCCAACAAACTAATTGGCGGATACGTACAGAGGAGAACTTTCTAAGGATACAGAGCGGACCTTTAACAACGCGTTTACTTTAAACAATGTAATCTTGTCTTGTGTTTTTTTTCTTCTTCCTCTCTCCTGCTAAGCTGTTTACATTTCAGCCACATTACAGCATTTTACTCAATAACTAAACCGTCTTTTGTTTTTTGTTTTTATCCATTCACTGTCCATATGGACCTTTCTTCATGTAGGCTTTAGTGTACTAGTTCTTTAAAACATCAGCTTATACACAGAAATGAAAAGTATCAACCCTTTTGAAAGTTTTCAAATCTTGTTTATTTTTTTCTGAGTCGTTTTGTTTTTGAACGGGAGAGAAACCAAAGATAGCGCATACATTTGAACTGAATTAGAAAATACTAATTTAATAAAATCTAAAATTGTAAAAGCTTTTGTCACTTCTATTGAAGAAAAGTATCACCACAGTTTTATTTTGCCAACAATTTTATTGTAGGGCTGAACTAACGATTATTTTGCAAATCGATTAATTTTTCAATTAATCTATTAATTATTGCTTAGCCACAGCTTCCTTAAGGAAGATTTTTTAATTAAATTTAACAGGTGAAACTGAAACCTTTCCACTAGATCAATTCTGGATAGAGTATATTGACAGACAAAAAAGTTTTTTAATATTAAATGCACAATGTTTACTTATTTTTTACAATTTTGATATAATTACTGCTCTGAATGGGTTGCTCTGTCAGCTAAATGCATATTTTACAGTTTCTATAGTCCAGCTAACGATTAATCGATTACTAAATATTTTATGATTATTTTAATAATAGATTAAACAAGATTAATCCAATTAATTGCTTCAGCCCTGCATGTTTATGAAACATTGGTTTGGTAGAAGCCTGCTGTGGGAATGCTTTTCTTCAGGGACAGGGAACTGGATAAGGAGTAATCCTGAAACAAAAGCTATAAAAGATCTGAGACTGAGGTTCACCATCCAACAGGAAAATAACTACAAAATAGCCACAAACATACAATGGATCGGCGCATTAGAATAAGAGTCTAGACCTAAATCTAGTAAATAATTAGCAGGAAAGATGTGGAAACTTTTTTTTCCAGATGTATCTCTACAAAAGAGATTTTTCATTTATATAGATATTGTGAAGGAAAATAAAAATAAGTATTACATTCCTTCCACTGTGGCATAACAATTTTGCTTCAAATAGGTATTTTAACTTATATCCTTATAACATTTTGAGGTTTGATTTTTTATTTATTTTTTTTTGGTACATCTTGTGTTAAGCTAATGTCATCTGTTTCCTCGTTATGCAGTCCTGGCAATGCATGAAAACGTCCTCAAGTGCCCTACACCTGGGTGCACAGGAAGGGGCCATGTCAACAGCAACCGTAGCACCCACCGGAGGTACATCCACAGATATAAGCCATTAGAAAATCTGCACCCTGTTTGGCGATCTCTTACACTGTTAATGTGTTTACCCCCCCTCCCCAACCAGTCTCTCCGGCTGCCCCATTGCCGCCGCAGTGAAAATCTCCAAACCTCAGGATGAGAACCCGAAGTGCAGACAAACGCCTGACCGCTCACCGAGGTATGGCGCCAGACCATATTTTTAAGACTTTCAATGCTCTCAGTGTGAACGCATGTAGACAAACAATCACATTTCAGCTCAGTAGTGGAGTCAGTTTATTAAACACAGCTGAGATCATTTGAAAAAAAACAAAACAACAACTGATAAAGACTACCGTTATTTAAAAAAAGTGGAAAATGTTAATTGCCTGATCCCAGCTGAACACACAGCCTAAATCTGAGCTTTCCAAGCAAACATAAGTGACGTTTGCTGCTCCTGTGAGTTCCCCTCTATTAGGAATGATAAAAGAGCAGAACTCTTTGTTCCCTGTGGATATATCATGGGCAGGATGCCCACTCCTTCTATATTAATTAGTCTGGCAACCTGACTGTGGATCTACAACACACATTAGATTCCAGGCTCCATGTGTACAAAAGCACTGGCATCCCTCAATGATTAAACACAATGTCTACAGTTTTACTGCTTTTTATTAACTTTTCTAGGCACCTTTGTTCTGAAATGATTTAACACAATAAGACTCACTTTTCTGTTCTTCTGCTTTTAGGGCCATCAGCTTAATAAAGAAGTTTGAAATGAACCAGCTGAACTACAGGCTATCTCATCCAGTAGCAGCCTTGCAAACCAGCCTCACAAAAGAAATGGACAAGTACAGCAGAATCCGCTTTGATTATGCCAGCTTTGATGCACAGGTCTTCGGCAAACAGCCGCTGCTGGGGGCCAACCAAGACCAGGAAATGTCCCACTACCCCGACTGTAAGTTTCACTTTAAACGCATGTCTAAATCTTTGTAAAATAAATTTCCTTTATATACTTCAGAGAGTTTTAATGTGTGAGTTGACAGAATTGTGCTTCAGTAAGTAACCAGCAGGCTAATTGCTTGTCTTTTAGCACCTCAGCAGTATTCTGGCATCTTTGGAGCTTCCGGTGGCCACGTGCCCATCTCTGGTCAACACAGTCCGCCTAGTCAGTTCAAAAAAGAGGACAGCCTTCAGGCCACGGCAGCGACAACTGCAATCCTTAACCTCTCCACCCGCTACCGGAAGAGCATAGAGACCATCAGCAGCCAGGCTTTAGCAACCTCCACCAAGGTAATGAAATGAAACTGTTTGAAAGGTCCTTTGTGTGGCTCTTTAAAGAAACTCTGTTTTGGGAGCAAAGAGAAATGGAAACAAGAGATTTTGGTGCAAAGAATTCAAGCTTAGTACTAAAGTGGCAGTAAAGGAAGAAAATCTAATAATTCTAATAATAATAAACACATATACTGTGTTTTATCTCTTTTATCACTCTTGGATGCAGAGGAAAGCACTCTCAAAGGGCGATTTTCATGTCAGAAAAACAATGAATCACATCAGAAGAGGAAATCAAATCTGCTGGCTTTTCTAGTTTCAGCCACTTGTCTTTTTCTCTTCTTTTTATGGGGGGTGAAACATGCGGCATTGTATTTTGTTTTGACATCAGCTGGCACGTAAAACCCTTGAACTGTTGTCTGAAGATGCGTCTTGCCCAGTGCAGATGGCAGAGGATATTTTGCTTAGTTATATGATCCAACATAGGCTGTGTGTCTACACCAGATCGTCTTTAGAAGCCTTCAAATGGATTAAGCCAATTAGCAGAAGGAGTTAACATATCAAAAGTTTAATTCACACCAAATCCAAACTCTTTGCTGGAAAATGTGTGCAGATCAAAATGTCTTCTGTTTTCGGCAAATGCCCAACATGGCATTGTGTTCAACTTCTTCCCAACTCACGTCATGATTAATATTGATCACATTCTGTGGGTTACATACGTGCACTGTGTACTGTAGATGATTCAAGGTTTCCACACCTACACAGCACAGATCCTTGTCTCCCAGCTTGGTGAGCTGAGAATGTGGCCCTGTACCAGGTACCAGCCCACTGAATGAATAAAACAGTGTTAGCAAGTTAATCATCTGTTCTCGTTTGCAGCTTAGTTGTCTTGGACAGACACACAAAATGAAGAACAGCTTTCGCGTTTGAAAAAGACGGGGCCATATTTAGAGTGTTATATGTCACTGGATGCTTAACTTATATGCATATGTAAATTTATTACACTTTATTATATACAAGAAAGAAATGTAACCAAAAGCTTAAAAAAAACAAGGAAAAGTGTGAAACAGCTGTTGTTATTATTCAGTAACACAAAAGAGAAAATAAATCAAATGCTTTTCTTCTAAAATTAAATTACAGTACAAAAAGAGTGTTTAAAGTTCTTTAATTTTACACTGATGCCTTTTTTACTACAGGATAATTAAATTTGACAGTCACATTTATGAAAATAATTTTTTTAATTGATCGCTCTACTATTAGTGAGAGAATGAATTACCATAGATAAGGTTTAATGAACACATGGATTGAGTAGGTGGTTTCATTTATATAAACATAAGGATTTTAGCAATTATTGAGGTCTAACTTTTAATACCTTAAAACAGTCGTAAGTCATCATAGTAGAGCGTTTCAGCACAAAAAAAAAAAAATCCCAATACACAAACAGCAAACACATCTGTCAGCAGGGGAAACTTATGCCACATTAAGCTTTTTAATTTTTGGTTTAATAATGATGACCTAAAACCAACATCCCAACCCCCCAATCTCAAAGGCATGCAAACACACACACACACACACTGACTCCCAGCTGCCATCTTGGTTGTGCGTCCTAGAAAACAGATGACACAGCTGTCACCGAAAAAAAACAAAAAACAAACTACACACCAGTGATTATTTTTTTTGTGTTCAGCAGAATTAATGCTGGCTTAGTTTGGTATTTTGTCTGGTGTGAGATAACTGCTGTATGAATTATTTAAATACGTTGTTTGCTCTGCGTTTCAAGTCACTTTATACATGTTTACAGAGAAGAGGGTGAAAGTTTTACAGCACAGCTGCTGGCTTATTGTAATTATTAAAGATCTATTATTTTTTTCATTTTTTTAATCCCACAGCACAAATAAAAATCATTTCTCTAGCAGATTGTCATGGTTTTTAACTTTTTTCCTTCTTTAGGATATGTTCATTGAGGTAGATGAAAATGGAACATTGGACCTGAGCATGAAAAAGTGTAAAGAGGGTGAAAAAGCCCAAAAGACACCTTTGGACGAACAGCTGCCTCCTCCAGAGTCCGCCATGGCGAAAGGCGGGAGTTTGCTTATCGGCCCCACCTTCTACCAGCCGCTGTGCGACAGAGAAACATGGGAGAACTCCATTCCTGTCAACTTCAGCAAATCACATGTTTTACAGGAAAAAGAGGTAAAGCTGTTTTTGACTGAAAAATATGCATCGATCACAATGGAACTGCTGAGACCAGAAGGTTCAAAGATTCTAGAAAAAAGGATTTTCTGCAAACAAAGGAAAAACAAATTGATTTTTAGTTTCTTTGTTATTCATTTTAAATCATTCCTATCTTCTTATTTTCATATTTCTGTAAATGAAAATGCTCCAGATTTAACTTTAAAGCAAAAGGGGAAACAAAGTTTATAACATTACTTCAACTGTTTAATTTCCCTCTATCAGACACAGTGAGATTTAGTTAAATCATTTCATTAAAACATATTATCTGAAGGCCTTTAAACTTAACTAATAGCAGTAGTATAACGCTTTATTGCCAAAATATATAATATCAAGAAATAATCAGTTTAGGTTGGTGAAATAACATGAATGCTGTGAAAGTGCTTTCAATTAATTTAAAGCAAGGTGACAAAGAATGAACAGTAACTTTTGTTAAGTGTTTTTCATCTTTTAAGAATAACAAAGATAAGAATCTGTAAGGGTATAACTTTAACAGGCGTTTATTTAAAAAGCAAATAGAAAGTAAAAAGAAAAAAATACTTTAATGGGTTGAGAATATTTTATTTCTATTTATGAAGAATGCTATAGGAAAAGGTAATCCATAAAAAATGGTAAAATAAAGAATGCCAGTCGGCAGAGAGTGCCTTTAAAAACATTTGCAGTGACATTTTTAAAAACGTGGAAGGGGCCCATCTGTTGATCTATAAAAA